AGGATATGATTTTGCTACTGGAATGTGAGGATGTATAATGTATTGATTGTGAGGGTGTATAATGTACACCACATACAACCAGAAACTTTAAAAATTGTATCAAGATATGTTTTAAAATTAATCTTTCCCGTTTTTTCTGTATCTTCAGAACATCATTGGCTTTATTTTTCTTCCAGTACTTTTTTGGGTGCTCCATATTAGGTTGCTTTCTTAATTTTAATCATTATGAAAATATGGAGTATTTACCAATGAACAGGGTAAATGGCTTCTCCTTGAATGTCCCACACTGTTGATTTTAGAGATCTCCTTGGGCAGCGTAAGATGGGAAGCTAATTGATATATACAGCTCTGAGACAAACGTTAGCTTCTAGATGTCTTCCATTTAGTGGGACATTGCAGGTTGGTAAGGGGATGCCACCTCCAGCGGCTGCTGCTATTCTGATTACTTACCCTAGATAAGTGTTCTGGTGTTCATTTTTTGGAAATAATTAGCAATAAAAAGTATATCTGTTCTTATCATATGAGAATCTTCTCTCTAATGAATTAAAAAAGCAAGGTCTTAATTGGAGGTATTGTAGGAGTTAAGTATCTTTAGAAACCCAAAATATAGGATATGTAAATGCCAGTTTCAGCTGATCAGTATTAGGTACCTAGAACACAGATTTAAAAAGATTTTGAGGCTGGACTCAGCGGATAAGTTTGCTTTGATCTACAGGCAGTGTTTAAAGTGGGTAGGTAGGTACAGCTATCCTTAGACTAAAGGCTCTTCAAGGCTCATCCCAGCTCCCAATATTCTGGGTTTTCTTTTTTTTTAAGATTTATTTATTTATGCATACAAGAACTAGGGTACAGGCCAGAGGGGTTGGGGGTGAAAAGATTCACCAGAGACAGAGTGGGGAACAGAATAGGCAGACTGATTGAAATACACTCCTGAGGGGAGCAGCAGGTGAGTCAAGAGAGGTCTGCTGCACCATGTGGGTCACCTCCCTGACCAGGGATTGACCTTGTGCTGCAGTGGCTGAGGATAGGTTTCTAGTGCTGCGTCTTAACCCCTTGCACCACCAGGGAGACCCCTTTTTCTGGGTTTTCTTGATAGGCTTTTGTAATTGGATAACATCCTTTCTGTCCAAATGACTATTCAGTGTTATTAGGGAGGAAAGGAGATATGACTAGTCAGCCCAGAATCTGAAAGGAGAGTGGTGCATTATTAAGTGCTCCTCTGAATGGGACGAGGTTTCTTTGAGAACTCACTCCAATTTGAGCTTTAAAAAATAAATCATTTTCATCAAAAGGAAAAACAGGATGGCTCCTGATATTGTGCATATAAACCACAAGCCAGTGAGCCCATGTAGGGTTGGAATACCATTTGCTGGTACACCAGTGGGCATGGCCAAACTGGAAATAGCTGTTCCTGATTTGCAATAGAAAGTTACAGGTTTCTAACAGTTGTTTTATAATTATGTTAATATGTCACAGAAAAATTATTTTAGAAATTTATCCACTTCCCCATTTAGGATCTAAGACAAGAGTTTCTTGTTTCTGGGTTAACTTGGTTAATTCAGGCAATGAGATTTAATTTTCAAGAATCTTCTGGAGGAAATTACATGAGTCACTTTTCAGACTTGAGATTTTGTTATGAAAAATAAAGCCCCAGCTGACCATTGGCATTTTATCATCTTAAGCTTAAGAGTCTTTCCAAAGGGTCAGGGATATTTGCCTTAATTTGAAAAGCTTCTCAGATACAGGTTTAACACTAGTTTTCTTTCTCCACAACCTCTTTTCCTCACGCCATCACCTCAACACCCTTATATGCCTCACTTCAGAGAGCTAGAGCATCTGTTGGGTCCCACTACCATGAATTTCTGCCCTCTAGCAAAGCAAAAATCACCAGTTTACAGTCATACTATTCCACTAAATATGATGAAAAAACTATTATTTTAGATGGTTTCTCAGAAACAATACCAAACGTGATTTTATTCACAATGTAGCCAGGCTCTTATGATGGAAAAGACATTTTTTATAGGGAAATCTATGAATATGACAGCAGCAATAAACAGCTGAAAATAATCTATGAGGCGTTTGCAAATTACCCCTTATGAGCTGTAGTGGTTGTGAAAGATAATTTGTGGTTCTCACAGAATACCCTGCAAATTGGGTCTTTCATCTGCAATGTTTTTTACAGTTAAAACATTTCATTTCTCGTATTAACAAATGATAACTCTGCATTTGTTCATCTAAACAATTTGATTTATGTATTTTTTTCTGTTCTGAGAGGCTGTTGATGTTTCAGGGTAATTATTTTCATTGCCAATTGCTGTTTGTGGTGACTGTAGGCAAAAGATAGGAATCTGAATATATGCATGCATCATTTTAATCATTTCTTTAAACACTACTCATAAAGCAGAAATCCATTTGCCTGAGTTATCATCTGTACTTAGAAATCTAATAGGACATGGGTGTTGACGAATGAGGATGCTCGCCAAGTTCAGGGTTTTCTGCGGTGTATTGAAAGCTCTCTCATGTAATCACTGTGGGCAGGGGGTCAGGGTTGACCTGAAGTGTCACCAAATCTCTGGCAGAGCAGCGTGCACTTGCAGTCTTAAATCACAGCCGTGAGAAGAAGCATGCGTTATTGGCCAGAGTCATTCCCAGCTTATGTAATATCTGTTCAAACTATCTCCCAGGGTCGTTTCCAGGATGACATGACGAATGCTCATGAGAACACCTCTCACCATGCATGGTATGCAGTGCAAACTCTGGAAACGTTAGGGGAAACAGGGACGACATATAAAAAGATCTTCTCAATTTCCTCTCTTACATTGCTTTTTTGGCCAGGACTCACAGTCCAGGAGAAGGGAAAGAAAGAATTTTTCACCTAGAAAATAACTAGTCCTTAGATGGGAGACCAGCCTTGCCCACTGAAGTAATACGGCATCTTAAAAAGGAGGTACCAGGGCCTGGAATGAAGGCCATACAAACCAGCTTTCACTAGGGTCTTTTAGATCTTAAAATGCATGTGAAATTTCCAATCTTCTTTTCAGCATATATAAGTTTATTTTAATATTCAGGTTGGGGTAGGGGGATTACCATCAAAGCTTAAGCTTCTTTCCCCAGAAAAATCATGTAGCAAAATTGCTGCTCTAAAAAGGGGGCAGATCTTTAGCCTGGGATGGGGGTAGTTGGGGGGAATGCAGAGGCCTACACAAGTAAAGAAGAGCTGTGGCAGCTATAGATGGCCTCTGTGTGGATTTGGGGTTCTCCGTATGTGTATTTACAAGATGGGCTCTGGTAGGTTCCTCTGGGTCTCCACTGCTGGGAAAGGCACAGGCCACATCAGACAGGGAGACAAAGCACCCCTGCATTTCTGGACCTCCCATTCACATTCCAGCTTAGGGAAGGGACTACTGATTTAGGATCGCAACCAGTTTTTACATGGCCTAAAGGAGTGAATGTAGAGCCAGTACCCTGAATGGCAAATGTGTTTTATCCTTTGAACCAATTCCAATTGATTAGTTCTGGTTGCCTACAGTGCTGTCTTAAGAAGGCATGTGTGGTTCATGGGGGCTCAGCTGGGAGGAGAGCTGGGATTGATTAGCGATGTCTGTCAAGGCCTCTGGAGAGACAGCTTGCCCTGTATTTGCTATTCACTGCTTTTAACAACTCTTTAACTCCTCTCTGTAAAATGATTTTAATACTAATAGGTGACTAAATATGTGGTGGCTCATCATGAGAGAGAGCAGGTAGATTCCACTTTAAGAAAACCTAGCATGAGAAAATGCAAATTTATAAATGCGTAAATCTGGAGCCAATTATTGCCATTATAGAAAGATTCCATGAAAGGTTCCTTTAAATAGCGAGCTCCCCTACTGCATTAAAATGATGATTCAATTTACAAAAATTCACTTTGCATGCAAGTCTTCAGGACCGTGTCTGCAGAGTAAAACAAGCCACACCTGATTTTTTCAAACCACCGCCTAAATAATGTTCAGGATGGCTGCTGCTGCATATCTCGAGTCTCTTGGTAATTCCTGCTCTCTTCAGGCTTCCTTCTTACTTCCTATCCCAGAGTGTTGAGTAGACAATCTGGGTGGTGGTCAACAGCTGCTGGCTTCCACCCTGCCACGGCTGCGTTTCATTAGTGGGTAAACTGATTGCTCCGAGTATGTTTATGTGTGGGTGTGGCTGTACAGGCCCGTGACTCTGTGCACTATGTATGGAGATACAGAGCCACACAAGCCATTATCTCGCTCTCAGCCCACCCTAAATTCATTCCTGCTGTGAGAGTTATAAATGGAAGGCTGCAATCGCCTGGTGGATATGGCCTTTTGGTAGTATCTGCCCTGAATTCCGGCTCCCCATCCTCATTGTGTTTGTTTATATGTTATTTACCTTTGCATCAGAAAACTTCCCCAGACTCTGGGTCTGAGTCCCATTATCCAGACATGGAACCCTCCTCTTCCTCTGTGGCCTAGAAAGCCCCAAATGGTTTTCTGATTTAGAAAATTAAATATAATCTGACTCTTGTGGCAAGCTCCGAAATTCCCAACCAACAGACGCTCCCATTAAATATATAACATACACAACATCTAAAAGTATCACCGATCTAGCATGAATTTGAATTATAGAGGCATTCAGTGCCCCACGGGTAAGATCACCAGTCTCTTCCCAGGCACTCAAAATCGGGCAGTTTTCCAGTGGACCATAAAGCTCCCAGGAATGCTGACTGGCACGTGTGTTTGAGTTTCTGTTGCTCTGTAAAAGCAACTTAATTCAAGAAAAGTACCTGAAAGACATGGCATCTTCCCCCACATAGAAAAGTTGTAATAACTTCTCAGGCACAGAGCACAAGTATCTCTATTTCATCTATGGTATTTTAAGAGTCTCAACATGAATTTCTTCCCAGGAATATTTTTTTAAAGACTCATCTTTTGTTTTTGTTCTTTTTCATCTCGCAGAAAGCACAATGAGGCAGTGACAGTGAACTTCAGCTGTACTCGGGCATGCTCTTCTGCCCTGAAATGATTATTCCTATTTTAGATGAAAGATCTCAGGCTGGTGAACTGTCAAATAGATTTTTCCCTTTTGTCTTTGCTGGTTCACTGGGTAGAGCCAGGGGTCCTCTGTGGCCCTGGGCTGTAAGGGCTGCATAGGTGCAGCCATAAATGGTGGAGGCCAGCATCATTAGACACACGACCCCACACACGACCCCCGTAATGACAACAGTGGCCACAGCATGACGAAGGTTGGCCGGCCTCGGTTTGGGTTTGAGCTGACATTCCGAGTGACTGTCAGGGAGCCCTGGGACAGCCTGGGGGGAGGAGCCTGGTTGTAGGCCCCCCGAGGACTCCAGGTTTGGGGAAGCAAAAGGGCAGGGCTGGTACAGCTCGTGAGGGATTTGAAGGAGGTCCTTTCCCGTCCAGGAATCTGGTGACACGCAGATGACACCGTCCATTACTCCCCCTTGAAAAGACAAAAGCAGCAGATGATAACAGAGCCAGATACAACTGAGTTCCCAAACCCTCAGCCTGCAAACACACAGGCAGATGGAATTTATAAAGCACCTTATTTTTTTTTTCTGGAGTCAAAGAACTTAACAACCATATTTTATGATTTTAGAATTTTTAAATTGGCTCAATGCAAAAAATGCCACACACAAAATTGGCAATTATGTATGACCAAGCATTCATTAGAAGTCAGGTTACCTTTACCTTATAAATGCTGGGGGGGAAACAATGCAAAAGCTGATGAGACGGGGCACTGGAGGCCAACCTGAGGTGCTGTTGCCAACAACTTTCCTGCCACTCACAACCCTAATGAACCCCACCAGACAATAAATCTATTGTGCCTGATTCCCACTGGAAATCTAAACTAAACTAAAAAAAAAACACACACACAACAACAACAACAAGTGTCCACTGTTGCGATGTTATGTGCTAATTACAAAAACCTTATGTGTCTATGAACACTTCAGTGAAGCCAAATGGGGAGGTGGAATGGTCTTTTGAGTGTTGTGTGTGTCTGAAGATTTGACAAGTGATATTATAGTTTGTGGGATTAAGTACAATTAATGTGTCTCCTCAGGCCTCTAAACATTTACTACTTCAAGTACCAAACTTTCCAATGAGCTATTAGACCCCGTTTCCATTCTCTATAAGGTGATTGATTTCTTCAGGTATGTAGACGACTGCTGTTTGGGGTGGAGGGGTCAGGAGGGAAGTGAATACCTAATAAATCTTTTCTAGAAAGAGCACTGAGATAGTAGAATCTATTCTGGTTTAGTTTGACCACTAACTTCAAGCAAATAAACAAAAAATGTTTTGCCATACAAGCATCATATTTTCTTCTGACTTGACATTTAACAAAACTCTTAGATAAGTCCTCACAACTCCACTGTAATGAGTCATTCTTGTCCAAAATCTCCCAGGTCAGGGCCTCCCTGGTGGTGCATGGGGTTAAGTCTCAGCATGATGAAGCTATCTGCACCTGCTGTAGCATGAGTTCTATCCCCGGCCAGGGAGGTGACCCACATGGTGCAGCAGAACTCTCCTGTCTCGCCCACTGCTCCCTTCAGCAATGTATTTCAGTTAATCCACCCTTTCTGTTCCCCACTCTGTCTCTGGTGAATCCTATCACCCTCTGGACCTCTGGCCTGTACCCCAGTTCTTCTATGCATAAATAAATAAACTTGAAACACACACACACACACAGAAGAAATAGATGGATGCACCAAAATCCAAACCAGCCCTCCTTGATCCTAGTTTCACTCACTACATTTGCTATCTCCCTCTATGTCCTCCTCTTTGGAACATTCTGAAGTCAGTGGAGTTCACACATGATCCTCAATAAAGCCCTTGACAAGATCCTCCCACTCCCATGACCTGTAACTTAGGTAACCCCTGCTGCCGAAAACACCACCCCCCGAGACAATTGTGGATCCTGGCACTATTCTTAGCCAAGTTAGATTGGAGATCCTTTGTATATACCATAGAATTATGAAATTATATCAAGATAGCACTTGAGCATTTTATAAATAGTCTCAGATTCATTCTATCTGAGCCTTCTAAACCAAGGCCTACATGACCCTATTAGTAGATGGGACCATTTTGCATTCTCCAAGGGCACCCCTGGGTTAGTGGATATGGTTCAGTTCAACCCACACCCTTTTCCTGCCACTAGTTGAAACTGAGTCACCTATTTCCACAGTTTCTTTGGGCCCCTCCTGGTGCTGGCTTCTTAATACATCCCCAGAAGCAAGAATCTCAGTAAAACAGAAGGAGGAATTTGTCTCCTTTACTGAGATGTGTGAGACCAAAAGTACAGTGTGGCTGCTCTGGATGAATCCAAGTCGACAGTGGGCTGTGCTGTGACTAAAGACCCCTGTCTCATGGAAACACATCATATCTCTGCCTGTGGGGTTGTTGTTAAGGCAAAAATACAGAAATGCAGCATGGGGCCTTGAGCAGAAGGCAACCCAGACAACGAGGACTGAGGCTTCTGCCAGGGGAAGAAATTCTGCCTGCCATGGAAAGGGCATCACCATCAGCCTACTTGTACCCAGACTGGGTTGGTTCACCCAAATGCTGCATCATTTTTCTCCTATCCCAAGCTTCCTGCTGCTTAATATTAGGGTGAGAAGCATGGCCTCAGGACCCAGAGCAAAGGAAATACACAGGCTAGAGGCTGGGGCCTGGTGGGGGCCTGGCTCCATGGCCTCCAGTACAGCCTCATCCTCAGTTAGAATTCACCTCCCACCTCTCTACCACAGTCTCTGCAGCCATGACCCGGGAGGCAAATCTGCTGATGACTGCCTGAGGATCCCACTCCCTCTGGCTTCATGGAAGCTGACAACACAAGATGCTCCAGCTTGCCCAGCACTTATTTCTCCCCATTGGCCAGTAGTTGTTCTTAACTGCTGTCTTAGAAGAAATTGATTTCAAATCTTGAGTCTCACCATTACTGAGCTGTGTGACCCTGAGCAAATTACTTGACCATTCTGTGCCTTTGCTTTCTCATCTGGAAAGTGGGAGAAGGGGATAATAATGAAATTCACCTCAAAAGATTTCCCTGAGGAGCAGTTGGATAAAGTATGTCAAGTATTTAGCACAATGCCTAAGCAGAGTAAATGTTTAATACCCTTAGATATTAGCATAGATGATTTGTTTACATATGAACAGAGAGAGGACTAGTAGTTACCAAATTAATTGCATGTTTTGTGGAGGAGACGTTATCAGGTCCTCACCAAAGCACAATTTTCCCACAGGAAGGCTAAATGTCTCCACCCTCTGTGGTCAGACAGAGGCCACCTGACTGAGTCGGCCAGCGGAACCAATGAACACCACTTCAGGCCACAAAACCACCTGCTTGATCCCCCACGCATTTTATTGCCATTTGGTGTGACCTTAGAGTTCATATGTTAAGGATTTTTTCTAAATTAGGTCTTGGCAAATATCAGATCCCTTATTTCCTTTATTCAATACATCAAGTAGATTGTCTCCACATTTCACAACCATCAGTTTTTTCTAGTTACATTGGGACACTGAGGAATTGTTATCCCAAGCCAGTGTTACCTTTCTCCTGAAAAACACTACTGCCTATGTACACCAGCTCTGCCGGGCGGGCATGTGGGCTGTGTCTGGGGATGTGAGATCAGAAGGGCCCTATGAACTCCCTGACTCGACTCTTCCACCTGGTGACATCGAGAGCCTGTGAGGCGCATTCATCAGCAAGAGGAAGCTCCAGCCCTGTGTTGATTCTAGTGTCTTGATATGAGAACTAGTTTTGTCAAGAAATGTTCTTTTTTTCCTTAAAAAAAAAAAAGATTTATTTTATTTATGCATCCAAGAACTGGGGTACAGGCCGGAGGTGGAGGGGTGAGAGGATTCACCAAAGACAGGATTCACCAGACTGACTGAAATACACTGCTGAGGGGAGCAGTGAGTGAGACAGGAGAGGTCTGCTGTGCCATGTGGGTAGCTCCCTGCCCGGGGATCGAACTTGTGCTGCAGTGGCTGCAGATAGCTTGATAGTGCTGAGACTTAACCCCTTGTGCCATCAGGGAGACCCAAGAAATGTTCTAGTTTGATGAAAACTGTCTTTCTGTGATGATGTGGCTTACACTTGCCATTTAGTCTGGAACACATTTGCTACCTCACCTCTAGATGCCAACAGTTTTACTTGCAACCTCTGTAAGAAAGACTTGCCATATTATGTCTCCAGTTGAAGGTCAACTCAAACATGAGCTGGTTGGGGGTAATACTATTTGCTCTTGTATTGTTGAGTTCAATACTGTATATTTGAATTCACTGGTACTTTGACCCACTTCCTTCTATGTAATTGCTGAGACCATCCAGTCCCACTGCCTCCCTAATTCATGTTGGTAGTTCTGACATCTCCCTGAGTTATATGCTCAGTCACACTTCCACCAACTCAATAGCGCCCCCTGGGATTATAGTGAGTACCTCACACCTGAAACACCCAGAATTAAACCCTTGGCTTCTGCACCTCCCACAAGTATTCACCCACTTCCCTCATCACCCAGTCTGCCCCTTATCAGCTACTGGCATCACCATTTATCTGGTTCTTCCTGCAAAACCAAGCAAAATTGCATTTCCCTTCAATAACTCTATTTTCTTCATGTCCAACTCCGACCAACCAGCACTTTCTGTCAGATTGATGTTCCACATCAGCCCCGAGTAGATCACTTCTCACCACCCAGTTTGGGCCACTAGCATCCCCTCCCCAGGTGACTAAAATCACATTCTCCCTCATTCTCCTGCTCCTGCAGCCTTCGTTCTGCTCTCCCTGGAGTCACCAGAGTGACCTTTTAATCTGATTATTTTGTTCCCCTGACTGAAATTCTTCCAGAGATTTCCATCTTACCTAAAATCAAATTTGAGCATCTCAGCCTGCACTGCCTGTTCTGGCATGACCTGGCCCCGAGTACTTGTGTTGCCTTATCCTTGCTCTCTGGTTCCCTTTCTCTGTTCTGGCCACTTGTTTATCTCTTTTTTGTCCCTCGGTCAAACGTATCTTACTCCCTGGTCAGGCCCTTGACATGCTGTCTTTTCCCCCAATTCTCTCTCCTCATTGTTCACTTTCTGCTCACCCATGTCACTTTCATGGAGAAGCCCTTCCCTGCCCATCCTCTCTAAAGCAGACCCTCGCCCCCACCCTCTCCCCTTCTTCTAGCATTAATTTTTATCGGAGAATGAATAGTTGTTATCTTGTTTAATCTGTTTCTACTATCAGAATGTAACCTCTGTGATGGCAGAGATTGTTTCTGTTACTGATTTTTGCTCAGTGCCTAGAACCATAAGTGGCACTCAAATATAGAAATGAAGGAATGAATGATGCCTGAAAGTCAGGAGGAAAGAAGTGCTGTGATATAGAAAATAGAAAACAGGCCCAAGATTCAGAAGCCAATCTGTCCTGTCTGTGCTTCTACTCTATGACCTTGGATATATCATTAAGCCTCTCTGGGCCTCTGTTTCCCATTGATAAGTGGCTGGCATTAAGTTAGAAAGGGTTGGAAAACTTTTCTGTAAAGGACCAGATAGTAAATATTTTAAGCTTTGCCATACAGTCTGTTTCAGCTTTTCAACTTTACCCTTATAGCAAAAAAGCAGCCACAGACAAGACATAATAAATGGACGTGGTAAGTTCCAATGAAAATTTATTTACAAAACCAGCAGGCGGGCCAGATTTCGCTGTTGGGCTGGTTTACTGAACCTAGGGTGATTTTCAGGGCCCCTCATTTTTCAGATTCTAGGATCTCTTGCTTTGTTTTTGATACCTGATTAAAGAAATAGCATGTGACTTTAGAGAGGAGGAAATATTGCATTCAATTTCAGTGACAGTGGTATTTGCTAAAACAGACAGGGATAGCTGTCAAAAGGATAGAAGCAGACAAAGAGTAGGAAAGGTCCCCAGGAGAGATAGCCATGCCCTGCTTCCATCTCACTGAAAATTGGCACTTGGTGCCACTTTGAAGTTCAGAGGCTATTGGGTAGCAATTGAATTCCCCTCCTCCTTAAGGGTCTATAGATAACTTGTTGTTTTTTGTTAATTAAAAAGGCGGGAAGTTATCTCTATGAATCATATTTGTAGATGAATTTAAAAACCTGAATTTAAACACCCCCAAATGACTCACTTGCCTCTTGCCATACCATGAAATGACATCAATGTGAAAAAGCTTACCCCGGTCCCTGCACACTCCCCAGCATTCCTTCTAATACAGAGAACAGATGCAGTCTATCCTAGACTGGTAAGACACAGATGGCAGTTTCCAAATAGACATTACTGACCTTTATAGATAAATTTCTCCAGCCAGAGTTTAAGACCGAGCAAGTGGCAATTGCATTTCCAGAGGTTGTCCTTGAGAAATAAAAGCCTCACCCTGGGCATGGATTCTAGGAGGGCTCGATCAACCTGCTGAAGCTGGTTTTGCTGAACTGCAAATACAGTTAGGTTCTTCCAGGGTCCTCCCAGGGATGTGGGAAGGTGACTTAGGTTGTTTGATGACAGATCAAGCTCCTTTAATTGTGGGAGGGAATGGAAAACTCTACTTTCCAGGGAATGCAAGGAGTTCTGGGTTAGGTTTAAGACCTGCAGCTGCCGAAGTCCATGGAACACTCCAGGAGCCAGATGTGAGAGGGAGTTGTTGTACAAGTTCAAGGTGGTGAGCTGTGGCACTGACCTAAATGCAAACGCAGGAAGTTGGTGTATCTGGTTATCTTGTAAGAGCAGCGTTTGTGTCTGAGGAGGCAGGTCAGAAGGGATTTCAACCAGGCCCTGCCGGCTGCAGTCCACAGACCTGGATGACAAGTGACAGTGGCATCTCTCTGGGCAGCCACACGCCACCTGGAGCAGGAAAATCCCACTTGCGAGCAGGAGCATTTCCCCTGTGACAAACAGGAAGAGATCAGGATAAGAGTCACTCTGTACATGATGCTTGTATTTGTTCCCCGTTGGGTCCACTGGTATTGTGATTTGGAGCCAACCTCTCTCTCTGCAACCCAGAAGAGTTTCCATTATTCACCATCGTAGGTAGAACCGGCTGAACTGGGTGCATCTCTAGTGTCAATAAATAAGGCAAACTCTGCCAACTATGGTCAGAAGCCCTAGAAAAGATGCTTTCTCAGTAGAAGACAAGATTGAAGGATATCAGATAGAAAGGTGAAAAAAATCTTTTTGGAGACATGTGCCCTTTGTAGGGTGTGGCAGAATTATCTGGGCTGAAAGTTTAGAAGTGTGATGCTAAGTTCAGTGAGTCGCATGGGTTAAAGTATGCTTAAGATCAGTGCTGTCCAACAGATCTCTCTGTGGTGGCGAAAATATTCTATGCCCTGTATCTGCTGTTCACTAATGTAGCCATCATCTCTGTGTGGCTCCAGGTTTCACCCAGGGATGTGGGAAGGTGACTTAGGTTGTTTTGATGACAGATCAAGCTCCTTCCGTTGCGGGAGGGAATGGAAAACTCTACTTTCCAGGGAATGCAAGGAGTTCTGGGTTAGGTTTAAGAGCTGCAATGGGATCTGCAATGACCCTGAAATGGGACAGTTGCACAAAGGAACTGAATTTTCATTTGCCCCTAATTTTAATTCATTTTAAATTAAATAGTTATATGGTGCTTGTGGTTACCCTGTTGGGTAGAACAGGTGTGAAGCATTCCTACATATTGAGGTCCATCGTTACAGGTGTAGTGGTCCCATGAGTGATGATTATCTCTACTCCTATTTTTTTGAGAGATTTCAGAAACATAGAAAAGACCTATTAATAATATAATAAATTTCAATGCCCACATGCCTATAACAAAATTAAGTTTATCATTCATAGTTTGTTGTCTCTTTCATCTCTTTGTTCTTTTAACTCAGAAAGACAAGGTATTACTAGTACAGTTGCACTCCTTTGAGTAGCACCCAAGTCACATTTTCTGCCACAAACTCTTCTCCCCTGTCCCATTACTGAAAGATCCCTCTAGGCCTTTTAAAATCAACACAATAATAACAACTCTAACAACCATGTATTTGAGCCAGACACCAATCTAAGTGCCACATACTTAATATACATATTAATCAATGGGCATATTAATTAACCTTCATGTTACTTTATTAAATCCTTATAGCTTTATAAGTCTAGTTCTATTATCACCATTTTAAAAGTGAGGAAACTGAGGCACAGGGAAGCTAAACCATTTGCCTAAGGTCACACAGGTAATAAGCAGTGGAGTGATGATTTTAACTTAGGCAGTCTGCTTCCAGAATCTCTCACGGTTCTTACCTGCTTAATGACTGTTAAGCATACATACCATACATACCATACTATTTATGCATACATACCATACTATTCTTAGTGTTTTTTTTTAAAGTAATTAAATATAAGCATAAGCATGTTTTATTTCACAGTCTACTGTAATCACTCAAAACTGATGTAGCCATAGGGATATGAGGAGAGCCCATTTATTCCTTTGAAGGGCTGTAGAATATTCCGAGGGGAGACCATGCAAGATAGGTTAGCCTCTCTCTCGCTGGCATTTGAATTGTTGCAGTTTCCCTGCGTTACAAATGATGCGGCAAAAAACATCCCTGCCCAGACTTCCCTGACCCTATGGAGATGTGGGATAGAGTCTCCAGAATCAATAAGAGCCTCCGGCAGGGCACAGGGAAGATGCTGAGTTTATATTTACACACTGCTGAACCCTTTTCTAGAGTAGTTAGCTCACTCCCTTCTTTTTTCCTGAGACTTGAATTTCCAAATGTGGCAAACATCTGTCAAGGACATTTTGTTAAATTGGAAGAGGAATTCACAAGGCCACACAAATAATAGTTTCGGACTCTAGATAGTTATTCAGTCATAAAGAAAGCTCTTAAAAGAGTTTCTTTGTGTGTTTGTTTGTTTGTTTGGGGCTGTAACTAAGGAAATTTACAGTGTGACTGTCAAGTGCACTGGAGCCTGTTTTCCTGGGTCCCTTGAATTCTCTGCGGCTGTGAACAGTGCTTTATAACTATAAGAAAGATGTTGGAGAGCCTTCTGAGGGAGATTCTGCTCAGATTATTTAGCTGAAGAGATGGAAAACATCATATTCCCCTCCCTCTTCCAAAATATGTAAGAGCAGAGCCTGTTTTCCTTTTTATAATTTTGCAAACAACCTAAGTGACTTTTTTAAAAGCCGCAATGTCTCACCATCAGAGATGAGGTGACACCCTGTACTTTTAACTGTGTCTTAAGCATTAATTAGCTGCAGGAAATCAAATCTTAAATCTCAAAATACATTTTCCACAGAATCCACTAATCTATTAATGAAAGACTTGTTTTTCTGAGACTATTAGCTAGTTTGTTCATTCTTTCTTTGCTCCCACTACCGAACCCCCAAGGGGAATGATCTATGAGCTCCAGCTTGAAGTACTGTGTTTCTATAAAATGACCTGCGATATGCTAACTGCATATCTCCATCCTGGCTGGGTAAATTTGCGCCTACCCCCACCCCTGCATCCCACATGGCACAGACAGAAATGCCCCTGCCAGAGTCACTCCTACATCTGTTTAGTCTTCTGAGAATAACAACTTGAAAATAGGACCCCACATATACCCATTTTGAGATATATCACACAATCACATCTCATCTTTCATGACGGCATCACCACAGGCCTGCGCACTGAAGCGGCAGCTACCTTTACTTACTCGCAGAGCAGCAAATGGAGGGCATGGCAAGGTCGGTGCCCAGCTTTTCATTCACTTTCTCTGAATCCTGCTTGTGCTTTTCTTCAATTCAGAAAACAGTCGCTGCTTTCAGGAGACCAATTATTTAAGCAGTCCTTCCTCCGTCCCCATCTGGCTGGGATTGTTTTCTATAAGAGGCTCTTTTGATTGTGCCCCCTCTTCTTTCTTAACATATCGGCCTTCCCAAGATCATCTCTGCCGTCCCCATTCAGAGGACGAGTCACAGAAAGAATGTTTGTCAAACCTCAGTGAACAGCTGTAGCATTCAAACATGACCCCGATGGCTCAGTCTTTTTGATTATTTAATCTGCTTGAAGTCCCAGGCACCAAAATAAAACTGCCTTCTTAATCCGGCCGTGGCTTCTGAATTCTGTTGACTTATTAACCATGCCGTGTCAACCCGCATCGGGTTGGGGGTGCTGCACATGCATCTTGGTCCAGGGGTCTAGCACCAGAGCCAGTAGAGCATGTAATATGAGGACAAATTGGCCTGCTGGAGGCTGACACAGTTTCCACAATGTGCTCATTTGGTCACCGAAGGCTTATTCAGCCAACATCCGTGGGGATTAGCTGTGTTGACAGGGTCTTGATGCTCTGAAATTCATAGCCATGGTTTCCTTTAGTGGACATCACAACCTCTTCTCCCTGGTGCCACAAATACTTCTCAGCTGCTTCCTTGTTTCTCCCCGGCTCCCTCTCCACCCCCCGTTGAATTGACCTTTCGGTGTGCGTGACTTTGGAAATACTTCTCCATCTTTCATCGTTTCCCTGATGCTGAAGTTTGGCCCCTTCCTCATTTTTCACATATAAAGCTCTAAAGCCGCCCCTGTGAGCATCAGGCGTCAATGAACTGTGACTGTTCTCTAATTGAAGCTGTTGGGAACTTTCCCACCAGGGATTGGAACGTTTCTTTTTGCAAATCCCCTGCCATTTTCTGAGGTAGGGTTTCAATGCCTGGAGCTGCCCCTCCACACACCAAAATGTTCCACATGCCCACAGCGACTGCATCTAAGGATAAAACCATGCTTTCCTTAAGGCGCCATGTCGTGGAACCCCTGGTCCCAGGCAGCACGAAAGAGCAGGCGAGTGTGGGCTTTGGAATCAGATGGCACGCAGTCTCGCCATTCACCAGCCCTATGTTTCCGAGTAAGTGGCTTGCCCAGGGGAAGCCTCATGTCTTCTCTACCATGGGGATAACTGTCATGCTTGCTCCGTAAGATTGGTCTGAGGATTAGTAAATAAAGCAACACATGGCATGGCACGTAGGGTCTTACTTAGTAAGTGTCTCAATTACCTGTGGGAATGCCTTCCAGGACTGCCGAGCTGCTGGCTCTCAAACAGCAACCTTGACTTGATAGGCAGGAGGGAGGTCTGACAAAAGACATGGAAGCCTGGCCTTTCACACCACTACAGTGTGCAGAGGGAAGAGGCTCCTTGTGAATGAAGCTGAAAAATCAGATTGTAGGAACTCTCCGGTGGCGCAGTAGGTTGAGCAGTGCCCTGTGAAGCTGTCTGCAGCCTCTGCAATGCGGGTTCAATTCCCGGCCGGCCAGGGAGATTCCCATATGGCGTGGCAGACCTCGCCTGCCTCGCCCGCTGCTCCCCTCAGCACTGTCTTTGGTCCATCTGCCTGTTCTGCTCCCCGCTCTGTCTCTGGTGAATTCTCTCACCCTCCCAAGCCTCTGACCTGTGCCCCAGTTCTTGTATAAATAAATAAAACTTTAAAAAAAATAGATTGTGAGTATCTCAACCTGCTTTTGGGCAGCCCTTTCCCCCTTTGGCCATGCCCCTTCAGTCTGCCTGAACTGATAAACCAAGAAGAGCATCTGTGTAGTAAACCCCAAAAAGAATGGAGTGTGCAGCCCCTGTACCCCATTTAAGCCAGGAATACCCTACCTTTCCTCTTAATTGTTTTTCCATGGACTCTGCCAGGCTGGATCTCTTCCTGGGTGTACTGTCTCTAAATGAACTTTGCTTTGCTTTGCCCAGATGTGGCTTTGAGTTCTTTCATGACCATAGTCAAGAACCAAGGACCCCGAAACCTGGTAACAGGTCAGGTAGTACATATTTAGGTGTCCAAGGCTATACTGTCACTACTCAACTCTGATATAGCACAAAGCCAGCCACAAACAAACTCTGAATAATGGGGCTTGCCTGAATGCCATTAAAAATCTATTTACAGGGCCTCCCCGGTGGCGCAGCGGTTGAGCGCTGGGTTGCGAAGCTGCCCACAGCCTCCTCGGCGCCGGTTCGATCCCCGGCTGCTCCCCGGCCCCGGAGGAGGATCCCACATGGTGCGCAGACCTCTCCTG